CTCCGACGAATGCAGAAAACGCGTGCACGAGTGACCTGTGCGTGAAAGGCGAGGAACATCGTCTCGAGTCTCGACTCGCTTCGCGATGACTACCTGTATCCGCAAATATTGCATAAGAGCTCGGAAACGGAATTTGCGGCTCCAAGGGAGAAACAATGACGATCGCGCGATCAAACGTACAATGATGAAATCATTTTTACTAAAATTACGTCATGTATAGTTACGTAATTTTAATAGGAACCCCAAAAGTCATTGTTGCGTCACTTGAGTCACTTCTCGGTTAAAAATAATCATTAGCGTACGCGCGCCTATCTTCAAAAATCACGTTATCGATTTAAAAGTCACGTTATATTACTCCTTTAGGATCTCTTTTCCTATTCCAACTCTCTATATAAAATGTATTTACTGAGTTGATAATAAATCAAACTAAGCATAAAAATTAAGAAAATAAAATTATTAAAAAATTAAAAAATTAGGAATTTTAATTTTAATTTTGGTCAATATCTTTTCCAAGAAAAAAAAATATTTGTATAAATTAAATAAGTGAAGAAAGGCTTCAAAAATGTATGTCTATCTAATATTGTTATGAACTGTCATTACACTCCGCTTAGAAGTATATATAATCGTATAATCAGGTATCATTATCGATTCTTTCGTTGATATTGAGAAGAACATTCATATGCACAGCAACATATATGCACGTTTCTTTGAGGGTACAGATTAAACGACTCCAAACAGTCGATGGATAATTTGGTAAGCGATCCAAACGAGCGACGGACAACAATACCAAGGAATTTTCGCAAAAAGATTGATTTTGAATTTTTCATAGATTTTAAATAAAATTATAGAATATATTAATAAAATATCAACAAAGTACGAGGCATATTTATGTATCTTATGGAAAGCAATGTCAAATTGAAGATAAAAATAGAGTAAATTTATGTAGTAAATAAAATATGCGTGGTCGTTTTTTTTTCGAAGAGGACAAACTCTCGAGGTCGCGTCCACCGAAATTGTCGACGCTCGATTATTCCCGGCTCGGCGCGATAAAAGAAGTTTATGTCCAAGTCGAAGTGGATGCACGGAGCCCACCCGGCGCGATCGAGAGAGTCATCCAGTCGCCGCGGCATTCTGGCTCACGGCCAGCTGACTTCGCGGGAACACACCACCGACCGATCGTGGCCCCGCGTACGTAGATACACCCACACGCGGGCGCGAGTGAGAGCCCGCCGGTGCCTCTCTGCCTACCACACGTGCAACGACCCCGTGAACTTGAACTTGCGCCGGTCTCGCTCGTCTCGACATGGCGCAGCTCGAATCGTTCGCCGAAACGTTGTTAGGCAGCAGTGGCGCGAAAAGAAAAGGGTCCGCCCCGATCTGAATTCGAGCGACCAGCTCGAGACGGAAAGAGAGAGAAAGAGAGAGAGAGAGAGAGAGAAAGAGAACGTGTACATGAGAGAAGTACACGTGAGAGAAGTGCGTTCGTTCGCGGAAGGGGACAAGTTGGGAACGCACGATGATGTTAATCGCTACCAGGAATCAGCGGGGGCTCCTGGAGCCGCGCAACGTGGCTCGCAGCATCACCGCGTCGCCGCGAGAGCAGCGCAGCAACATATGCGCGTTTCCTCGCGCGTGTCAGGATCCGGTGTGAGAGCGGCCGCGAGAATGTTTCCCCCTCTCCTCGCCTCGCCCCTTCGATTTGTGCTCGGCTACTTCCTTCAGCTTCTAAACTTCGAGAACGAAAAACGTGAGATTCAGGCTAGATTTCAGATGCGCCGCGCGCGCGAGCCGAGAGCGAGCGTACACGCGAGCGCGCGGGCGAATCTTTATGCCGCCATATGGCGACGGCAAGCGGCGACGGCGGCCTCTTCCCTCTGTGTTCTCTCCCGCCGGTTTTATACTCCCGTCAGACAAGTGCAGGCTGTTGTGAATGCGATTACGTGCTTCTCGCATAAACGCGATGCCGTCGTGGCCGCTGCAACGACCGACCGGTAGCCGCCGGTCGTTCGTTCGGATCGCTCGCCAAATTGTCCGTCGACCATTTGGAGTCGTTTAATCCTGTACCCTCAAAGGAATCAGCGCATACAAATGTTCCTCTCAATATCAACGAAAGAATCGATATAATGACACCCGGTTATAAGATTATAGGATTATAGGATTATACTTCTGAGCGGAGTGCAATGCGACAGTTCATGACAAAGAAATGAAAGCGGAAAAAAGATATCGACACGTAGTTAAAGTTGATCCTTTTGTCGGTTTAAAATTTTGAAAACGTTTACGAATACACTTAATAAATTCCTAGTCTAGTCTCAAAATAAAAATTTCTAATTTCCAAAATTTCTTAATTTATAAATACGATAAAGATGAAAATGAACAATAAAACGTCTTATTCCGTATTAAACGTATTTTTAATTTTATTCCAATCTTTACTATCAAGATTATTTAGTTTAAAAAAAAATAAAATAAAAATATGATAAAAATCATCTATCGCAAAAATTTTCGCAAAAAGATTGACTTTGAATTTTTCATGGAATCTACGCGATCGCAAGAATACGCACGGTGATTTTGGTGCACAGTATTCGCATATAGTTTCTCAGCAGAAGAGATCTCCGAGTTATGGTATCGACGATCGACAATACCAAGGCGGCAGCGCAAGCTCATCCTTGGTGCATCAGCCCGGCCGGAGGACGAGGTAACTCGGTATGCGGGTCACCCCGTTCGCCAGTGCGCGTATCGCGAGATGCATTGTCCGATCAGATAGCGAGTTTACGTTATCTTGCGACCGCTACCGCATAACTCTCGCGTTGGCCGCCTTGTTCTCTTTCTCTCTCTCGGATTCGCTCACGCGCGCTTTTATTTGCACATATAGTTTTATTAAACTTACCTGTCGAAAATTCTAAGTGAGCATGTTTTTCTTTATAACTAAATATCAGAACTTTGCAACTTTTACATTTAAATCTGTCAAAATCAAGAAAGAGTAAAGTTAAAAAAAATGGTCGATAAAATAAATCTGGTGATAATCGTGCATCACAACAAAGAAATAAGAGAGAATTCGTAGATAAAATATAAATACTAAAAATGTCTAAATTAAAAATTTGACATTTTTATATCATAATTGTTAAATATATCATATATAGAGAATAAGAAAATCATAAAGTAGAAGTCGCACGATCTGAAGTGCTAAATGGTTCGCAACCATCTCCGGCATGTGTGTCTCTCGATAAGTTGTTAAGTCTACGTCACGTTAGTTATAAGTTAGGTACGCTTTCGTGGTACGGCGTCGATGGATATACAGCGTGAGTACTTACATATACCCTTAGTCGCGACAGACGATCGCCTTTCTCGGAATTAGATAAGTCTCTTTATTGGTGATCAGATCACTGCAGCAACAGCAACAGGCGTAGCAGCAGCAGCAGCAGCATCAGAAGCGGCGACGGCAGCAGCAGCAGCAGCAGCAAGTTCAAGGTTGACTGGATAAAAATAGCCGGATCTTGCCGGACTCTCTCGCCGGACGAAGAATGCGCTGCTTCTCCTGGTGTTTCTGTTGACTGTGCTCAACCGGAAACGTACTGTCCGTCACTAATCGCTAAGACATTCCAAAGCTTATTCTACCGAATTCTCGGATAATTGTATACCGACTTCAAGCAAATAAATAGTCCGAGCATCAAAAATTAAAGTACATCAAACGCGACATGTCCGTGTTAATTTATTTAAATTATTTTTATAAGAAATTTTTTAAAGAGATCACTACTTGCTACTTCTTTCAATTTTTAAGTTTCTAATTTGTTTAATCTTTCGAAATACAATGTCAGTAATGACGATAATTACCAATAAATTTATTCTTGTAACTATTTTTTTCTATCAAACATTTTTTGTCCACAAAATTTATTAAACCGTTAGGTTGAAAAACCTAATAAAAATAAGATGTAATAAAAACTATTTTTTATAGTGTCTTTTAATATGCAAATACACAAGTCTACTTTAAGCTGCGAAATAAATAAATTCAGCTACAATTAAAAACGTTCAATATTAGTTCAATAATTGAGAGAAAAATTCGATTCGTGACGAAACCGGATAATTAGCGACGTAAGACACGACTCGCGCATCGAATGGAATCGTGATGTCGATAATGGATATTGGAATTTGTCGATCGTGGCAAGAAACGAGTACATACCGTCGTAGAGGTGCCATAACGGTGCCTGTTGTCCGCTCCGTGGCTTTCGTGAAAAACGTACCTGCCTATGCGCACACCTCATGGAGAAAAAGAGTAGTACTCGAGATGACTCGGGCGACCTTAGTCGTGCACCTAAGAGAAATACCGTGCCGCGCGCGGACCTTCGACGATGAAGATATAACGAGGTCGAGCGTGTCAACGACTCTATCATACGGCGAGTATCCCCTCTGCGGCTACCTCGCAAGCCTAAATCTTGCGAACTAGGTAAAGAGCACGCAAAACAGGTCTAAATCTAGAAAAGCATAACCGTGCCAGATCTCGATTTTGCAAAGTAATGGCTTGACAAAAATGATATCCTGTTAAGCAGAATAAATCACCTCTTGGTAACATATCCGCTCAACATAATAATGAACATGTCTCTGTTTACGACTGAAATTATTGCAGACTTGTAACTGCAAACTTAAATCTGTGAAAATTAAAGAGAAACAAAATTAGAAAGAATAACTTACTATTACTTATCACACATATCTTTTTGATAATCAAATTTGATAATTAACAATTGATTTGCTAAAAATACAAACAGGATATGTAAAGCAAATTTAACATAAATTATGAAAATTTCGCTTTAATAAACAGTTGTGGAGGATGTTATATACTAAATATCATATAATTATAATAATATGGTATATAATAATTATATATTATAATAATTATTATATATATTAATAATATATAATTATATTATAATAATTATATGTATATGATAATTAATATTATATAATTATATGGTATAATTATTATAATAATCATAATAACGTACATAATATAATAACGCTAGTCTCAACTTTTTATTGAATATTCAAAGTGGTAACACTATTAGTAGCGACATTTCTCATAATATGTAATAAACGATTAGCCTAAAACTTCTGCTTTCATAGCTTCTCATCTTCACAATTTTGTCATCATTATCATCATCGTCGTCGTCATCATATCGCACTATCAGCAAACATTTCCTTAGACGAAATACAAATGAATCGCGTTCTTTTGCTTCGTCATATAATAATACATAAAACGTACATAGATTTATTAGAGATATTGCGAGAATCTAGCATAAAATCGGTGACGGGTGGGTGTATTTATATATGTATAATTATATATAAATGTGTTTAATTATATATAATTATATATACAATATAGATATAGGTACACTTACGGTGTAAGAGTTATCTCGCAGGCGGAGAGAACATAAATCGCGAGATTTCGCTTGTCCACGTCCGAGATAAATCGGTTCTAAAAATCACGACGTCTATCTTACGTCAAATGTCTACCTATATTTCTCAGGCTTTTCGCACTTTTCTGTTTCTCTCTCTCTCTCTCTCTCTCTTTCTCTTTCTATTAAGCACGGGCTAAATGTGAACTCGATCGCGCGTGAAGCCGATCGGAGCAGCTGGCGACTACTCGCAAGATCGACGTATGCAATTTCAAAGTTGAAAGACCGGAGTGAGTGAAGTGAAGATATATTACATCGAAACAATGAAAATGGATTATGATGCTCGGGGACGGATAAGTCTTATCGAGGTGGCTTATTCGTGAGTAGAGCGTCTATTGCACCACTATGACTATTGCAGAAGAAAACTATTGCGATGATATTGTAAATATACTGTGTGATATGCCCGGAGTACAATTGCAAACTATACCCTGATTGTTATCCTGTACTAAGCTAAGAGTGTATCGTAAATTATCGGTAAACACTTTCCTCAAGATCCGACAACCAATTGCGAACTGCACTTTCAGCAAAATAACAATTCAAATTTTATTATTCAATATCTCACTCTTTCATTATTTTCGGCAAGGGTAATTACTGTTAATATTATTTTTTAATATAGTAATAAATATTCAGTTCCTGAATATACACAACTGAATATACCAAACTCTTTGCAAAATCAAAATTTTTGTTCAATAAAAATTTTATAGAACTTGGAGCATTTTAATGTATTAATATATCCAACATAATTGATTTTTCACATTTGATTTTGGCCGTATAAAAATATATCTCTCGTAAGGCTGTTTGATTCAAGAGAACAAGTATTTCTCGATAATTCCGATTCACGATTGCAAGGTGCACTCGCGCAATCGATTTCGCTCGCCCATCCGTCGCACTCTTTCACATCTCAAACGTCTGCCACCGTATTAATTATCGGTCACTTATGGCGACCGAACGCGCGCATTAAAAATCCTATGAAAGGCTATACTTAAAAATTAGTGAAACACAATGACAGTGTACATCGTCGGTGCTTCGAGTGGGCTTCATCAAACTCCATTGATACGCCGCACTTTCTCTCGCCGTGAAGGTTCGAATAAAAAATTGAGCTAAAAACGGCGACGAGGAGGGGGGAGAGGGAAGGTGACAGGGGAAAAAGAAAAAGATGTCAAAGCAAACGGACACGCCGAAGGACGAGAGATATGAACAGCGCTTCGCAGGCGCGAAACTCGCGTGTTTTTCTCTCTTTCTCTCTTTCCGTTCTCTCTTCCTCTATCCTCCTCTCGACGTACCGATCTCGGATCTTGTGAAGTATCGTTGACGAATGCTACTTCACCCGTCTCCTTACGACGACATTAAGAAGTACGTACACGTAAATAAGATCTCAACGCGTCTCGCAAGAAGCAAAAAGACGGCGGATCTCGGGAATTCGTGCAATCTTTCTCAAAATATAATTAAATCCGTAAGTAGCAATAGAATTCTTGTACATAAAAATTTCTTTTTTTTTTGCAAGAAAAAGAAAATTTCCCACGACAGATCGGTAGAAATATTTTAATATGCTTCTTGCGTGCCCTCAAAATACCGCTGAACAGACACCCTTACCCGACGGGACTTTCTTCTGCCTGAATGGCGTGGTTTGTCAAGCGGAACATCACGGTGTAACGAAAGGATTCTGCCCGGGCGGTGCAGTGGGTGGGCACTTCTTCTACTTACCGATTCGATTTAATTCGCAGGAATTCCGACGAGACTTCGGACAGCATCGAGATTTATTGTAGATACGGTCTTTAGTACGTCGAGTGTTTTCCTTTCTTTTTCCCCCTTTCCGCTGACTGTCCTCCGTTAATCTAATTGCCATTCTCTCCCTCCCTCTCTCTCTCTCTCGCACGCACACACTCACACATACACACACACATTCTTTAACACACTAAAGAGCATTAAGTAACTATCTTATCTCTGTCAAAAAATAGGACATCGTGTTCGCTACTCGATCATCGGTCCCGCAGTTCCTTGCTGGTCGCGCGTATGCCTCAACCACTGTGCGCTTCCGAAAGGTAAAACTTCTCCCGAAAGGTAAACTCGTATACGTATAACTGGTACAATCGAGCAATATTAAAAAACGCGAAGAAAACATCGACGTCGGCGCGCAAGTCGCGTTCGCGCTTTCGAGAATTCGTCGTGAGAATGAAGCGATTTCAATATCTCTATTCGACTCCGCGTCACGCAAATCATTTTGCGAATTTCACTTCGCACTGACACAGTCGTGATCTCAAATTGCGCTTCGCAATGCCAAACAAAATCATCGCTAGATCAACGTCGATCGAAAATCTCGTCAATGTGATTCCGACACGGAATGTTTATAATAGCGATCGTGCCAACACCCGCAGGATACATTTCTCCAATAAAAGCTAGTCTTTGATACTGTAAAGAACACCATACGGTTATACAATCGTGCACCACGTGGAATAAAATCCGCCTCGTCTCCTCACATTAGTATTCCTAGTTTTAAGCCAGTGAATCATATAGTTATCAATGTATACTCGCGAGCATGCAATAAAAAGATTCACACATCTCGGTGTACGTTACTTTTGCTTGAAGAATGATTGCAAAAAGAATCTCGAAAATCAAGGATTAATGCGCAAAATGTATTATTCTCCACGACAAACGTCAGCATCTTGCTTGAAATTATAATATCAATAATCAATTTTGCTTGAAAATATTGATATGTATAATAAAAAATCGAATATAATTTGTACGCATGCATTTGGTCGTTATATGCAGATCGAGACGGATTGATTTTTCGAAAGTACATGATTTTCGATCGTTCGTAACATTTCCCGAGAGTAAATCATCAATCGGCGACACACGATCGAGCACACGATCAACGATCACGTTACATCGATCGTCGCCTCGATCCTTCGTTCCCGGTGACGCGTAGTCATTCGTTGGAAACGAATTGTCGTTAATAATTCACTTTATGGCAGCTTAAAGGTAATGATGTTAATGACTTTAGCGTTAAGAAAATGAGGAGGGAATCGCCTCGTGGAAAATGTCACGGGTGGACTCACGCGGAACGATAAAAAGACACGTTTCGCGATTGCCAGCGAAAACGATGACGCGAACGCGTCGGTCATCGCGTCGCGTCATCTCGAAACCACCACACCGTACGTACGATATAAAAATTTTTTTAATAACGTCTCACACGAACAAAAGGTAAATGTCGACAAACAAAATTATACAAAATGTATTATCCAGCCGCAATAGGCGGCTACTATCGATAAAAAACAATCTACAAACTGTGACAGCACTTCAAGATAGTAAAAGCTCTATTATTTTTACCGTTTTCTTCGCCTCTTCCTCGAAACATTCACGTCCCTGTCGGCTGTCGCTCGATTCTACTTCTCGGTGTACGCCGTGGCTGTGAACGTTCTGGATTCAACGTGTCTTTCGGACCGCCCCGTTACACGGGCCCCCGTGTGAAAAGACTCTCTTCGGGATTTTTATCTCTGCACGTTCGAGATACACGGATACAGTTAGGGGGTACACAAGGTAGTGTCACGCTCATTCTCGGAGGAGCCTTCGAATAGCTCGCGTTTCCGACAAGCGAAACGGCAAGCGACAGGCTCCGAGCCCGTTTCTTTCCTCCATCATTCGTACCGTACTTCATTCGCAATTTTACGCGACCGCGCGCGCTTTGCTTTTTCTTCCGCAGAACTTGCTCCTGCTCACCGCACTTCGCGGTTTCTCCGTAATAGGATTTGAAAAAAAAAAAAAATTTAGAAAAAAAGAGTACCGTCGGGAGACAATCTGAATATATCCAACCTGCGACAGAGACTTACGCGATAACAACGTCGTGTGCGCACAGTCGACGATCGATCGACGGGTCACGAAAGAGATCCGCGACGAAGATCCGTCGACAATGACGAGCATTCTTCTTTTTTTTTTTTTATTTATTTTCTCTCTCCACCTCTTCTCGTTACGTTTTGGTCTTGCTTGACGTTGTTGGTCGGGCTCGCGCGGCAGGAACACAGGAGATTTCTCGTCAGGTGAGAATCGGAGTTTCGTCGCGATCACGTCATGCCGCCTCAGCCGAGTCCAGCCCATTGCATGAAATCGGGAACTTCCCTCACGGGCACGTCCCTGGCCAGAGCCTTCACCCTGAGGTTCCGGTCCTTCGTGAGCAGAACCACCTCCCGTCTCAAACGCCTCGGCTGGCCCTCCTCTGTTGAGGCAAAAAGCCAGGGGTTCCCCCAATTTTTTTATCGAGCTTACGCGCGCAGGACCTCCCGCCACTAACTCATTTATATTCTTGTCTCGAAAAAGCCTTTGATAAATTTAAACTAGCGAAATATTGCCTCTAGGAATTCCTCGGCGAAGTTAGAAGCGAAAAAAAGAAGATTTCTCTCTGGACATCCTTTCATAAATCTAGGAAAGGGCTATTCTTTCCTGACAAATTTAGAGTCCAGTATAGACGAAAAAAAGTATTTCTTTCTAACAAGTTTAAAACAGCCTCGCGAAAGCATATCGAATATATGATACAATTAATTATGTGAACAAGAATAACGATTGGAACTTCTCTGTAAGATGGAGAGAAATATTTCAACGCGTTTTGAATTTCACGATTCACCTACCTGCGTTTGCTTGATCCTTGCTGCTTCTGCAGAGACTGAGGCACGTAGTCAATATCTTGTCGTCGTTACTTATCAGTCCATCCTAAAACAAGACGATCGAAATTTCGAATATACCGAGTGAATTCGGTAGATAATTGCATCCTATTTAATTAGTGACCAGTAGCTTAAAGGAAAACCGAGCTTTTGAATTCGTAGAAGTAATTACCATGAAAACTAAGTTTCCGATCGAATCGCGAAAACTACGTTGGTACGAAAATAACCTAAGCACAAGCCGCAAATGCTACAGAAAATACTTCGCACGTACACCACGTGGGTGTTCTCGGCTCGTTATCATAACATTCGCGCTTCAATGAACACCGCGTGTTCCGAGTGCCTACCTTTCTTCGCTACCATTGGTCTTTGGAACGGCCGTTTTGTACTATACCGCCGCTACTTTCTGCGTGTAACTGTTGAAATCCTATCGACTGAATGTCACAATCGATTCCGCTTTATCGTGTCGCTTGTCGTTGCACGCCGCGGGCATTTAGATATTAAAATTGCGATGAAAATAACGATCCCTTAATAATTTACTTATTCAAATCGGAGTTGTCGGAACGGGTTTCGTAATCGCTATTGATATTCGAAGTCGCATTATCTGATTAATAAAATGTAAAACATACTAATGTGACAGTTGAAATTAACGACGATGAGGTATTTAAATTTAAGGGCAATATAATATAATTTTTCAAATTTTCTTCTTAGATTAAAGAAAAGATGCAGAACGAGGAAGGAGGAAATTGTGTGCATCGATTTCGTTACCGTAACGCGATAAATTCGGAGAGTTTTGTAAGATTTTTAGACAAAAGAAGGTGAAAAAGGTAAAGGACCATTCATCTAAGTCCTATACATCCAGTCGCGGTCAATGATCGATGCAAATTTGCCTCCTAAATACCTCAGCACGTCAAATACAGTTATTTAGGAGGCGAATGTAAGCGTATCGAATCTCGGCGAGGTTTCGTCCAGTTTCTTACTCTCTTACCTTGTCGACGTCTTCCTCCACCGTAAAAGTGCTGGACGTGAGAACGGTGCCCCTCGTGGTTAAGCACCGGATCGCCGGATTTCGGCTTCTCGCGAAGGCCAGTGCCGCCTTGGCACTCTCGGCAACCTGCGCCACGTACTCGGGATTTAGAGTCGCTTTCGACGCTGGAGGACAATCTCTCGCATCGGCGCCTCGAGCTAGACCTTCGAGTTCGTTTAGTACTGCAACAAAAAAGAATATTTCCACTCGTTGAGCACGTGCGAAAGAACCGTGTCGAAATTTGCGTCGCGTGCGCGGGAGAGTACAAAGGAATCAAGATTAATCACCATTGAATTGATGAAAAAATAAGCGTGAATCTTAAAAATTTAATTCTTATAGAAGAGAAGAAAAGGAATTCCGCATCGAAAAAGTTTATTATTATAAGGCATGTAATTATGATTCGTGAAAATACAGCTCAATTATAATGCTTTAATATTATACGTATAAGAAGATAAACTTTACATTTATATATAAAAAAAATAGCAAGAACTTTAGAAAATTTACGATATAGAAATAATAAGCATATATTGTGAATGAGTCCTTCTCCCAATTTCATTCGTATAATTTATCGATGATCTAAACGCAGACATCGAGAATGATTCATTCAAAAGATTTTCTTCACTCTCCTCGAAATTCTTTACACAATTATACGAATACAAATAAAACTCAAATTAATCCCTCCCTCTTAAATATCAAAATCCAAAGATTTAAAAGAAAATTCATGTCTGTGACCATCACTAAGCGACATGTTCACTCGATGGGATCGATCTCGTCTTTCGTGGCCGAGATTGAGGAAAACGGGATGGTGATGTGCTGTTAAGGCAAAGGGCCATCACAGCCGCGTTCAAAAGCCACTCGCCCCGACGATCGGCGACCGCCGTATACCCGATATCGCCCACACGTACCGATCGTAGCCAGAAGGCAGCCCGCGGTACGCCGCGCCGCTGCCATCCAGCCCCATCGCGAGCATTTCGAGCCGTATACATGCATTCATGTATGAGCCGTGAGAACCTAACTGTGAACGCTCACCGTTGCTCGCCATCCGAGAGCCAGACGGGCCCCTGGTCGGCCGACTGGCCGGCGAGGTCAAAGGGCAGCACGTCGGCCGATTTTGCATGAAGGCGCACTTTCGTTTTTCGACCCCACGACCCGCACGAACGACAAAAAGGAAAGGGAGAAACGCGCGGAGCGAACACGTAACAAGACTGAAGAGAAAATTAATTTTTATTACAAAATAATGGCGCGATCTAATTATACTCAAACTTTTGTTGTTATTTTATTAACATATTCGT